AAGCTTATAGGAGTGAAAAAAAGGTATATGACATTCCTACAAATTTTCTATCTCCATAGAAACTGGCACATTAAATATCCTATGTCTAGGCATGCCAATATTCCATTTTAATACTCCTAATTCTTATATTCCTCCATCGAGGCTAAATATCATACTATATATTAACAACAAACATAGCCATTGTATGCATTAAATGAAGAAAGGGAGATATTAAAAATATCACTATATCATTCACAGCACAAGAGTTACCTTATTTCTAACTATGCTTTTTCCATCATTAGCCCAAAATTAGAGAATCCAGACATGAAAGATTAAGCAAGCAAACTCATTTTCATTTTATTCATTAAAAGAAGAGATACAAAAGAAGTAATAAGAAAATTATTACCCATAAGGATCAAATGATCTTCTATATAGTGTTTCTTCCTCCAACCATAGAGTTCCTTACACAAACATGTTATGATCTCCATAATGAAAGTATATTGCACTTTCCTAGCCTCCCTTGGACTTTACTCTAAGGGGGCACTAAAGAAACAAATTTAATATTATATAATTTTACTTAAATGATAAAACTATCTAAATAATAAAATACAAAAACAATTTATAATAAGAACAGGGATGGACTCAAGCACCATGACGCTCGATAAGGTGTCACCATGAAAGTGTAAAATGAACAAACACAACGGCACTATAATGTTGGCTCCACTATGGTGCTAGGTGGCCTAACATGATTAATGATTAAATAGCACATTTTTTGGGTGAGTTGGTGTAGCTCCTCATGTTAGCAATTGCTCCACCGCGGTGCTCCAGAAGTTGAGTGTTATGTTACTTGAAGGTGAATTTTGGTGCTGAGGTGTTGCGTAGCTCGATGCTCTGGCACTCATTTTCTTGAGGCTCCAATGTTTTAGTGCTGAATTCAGGCATAACAATGATGTTTTGTGCTATTGTGCTAACCTTGATGTAACTACGATGTTGGAAATAGAGAACTCGGTGTTACAATATCTGAATCTAGCATCGGGATGTTGTGAAAGTGTACTCTACAGCGCTTCTCATGATGGTGCTACAACCCATTCAATTCAACACTTGTAAACTTTTTTCCTTCTCATGAATATGTCCTACTAGCACCACTAAAATAATATGTTTTAAAAAGTACATAATTTATACTGCCAACTTAAACTCGTGCTTATCCTTAAGCAACAGTTAAAATCACCTTTTGATCACTTGATTGCTAAAGTAAAAATTGATATTTAAAATTACTAAAATATAAGATAATACATCACAATCAAGAAGTAATTCGAAAAGATCAAAGTTGTACTTCTAATTTGAAAGGTCATGAAAATTACCCCAACCAGTCACCCTTATTATTACATGATTTGAATATATCCACTATATATGCAAGTGTAAAATTAACTTATCAATGTAGATATGAATAATGTAACTTAAGGGTTAATTGTGCTTATAGTTAAATAAGAAGTTCATTAGTGCACAATCACATGTACTAATTCATTTACCTTATCCTAGTTAATTTTAAGTATTAATATGCATTTGAACTTAAGATTTAACAAATACCAATTTTGTAATGTGCTCATATTTTGCTTTATAAAATATTTTTCACATTTTTTCATCATTTCATACTTATGGAGTGCATATTTAATGATTTTGAATATCAATATTACTTTCATCCTCTTACAACCCTAAATTAATTTGATACAAGGATTCAATAAGATCACTAATTCTATTTTCAAGTTTAGTATGATCTATTTAATTTAAGCAACCCATATCTTTTCCTTAAACTTAAGTATTCATTTTTCAATTCAATGGTCAATGCATTAGTGTAGAGCTTCTAAATTCAAATCAAGTTAATAGCTTAAGTGATCAATAATAGTTAGCTTTTGAAATTAATCATTCAAACTATCATTTAGGGTTTTATTATTATATTAATTTTACATAATCATTAATTATCAATTTTATTTTGGCAAAATAAAAATTTAAAGGGCAAGTATCTATAGAGGACAATGTACAATTGTTTAAGTTAAAGGAATTTAATTAAATATAAATAATAAAACTACATTGCACTAGAATAAATAAAAGTTAATATGAGGTAAAACATGCCTTTTTATGAAAATTATAAAGCTCAAGGCAATAAATGTAGTCTACTAAAATAATAAAGATAACTAGTGCCTAAAGCACCATTCTTTAATCAACGACCATCACAGCTCTCATGGCCATCCTACCATATCATAGTGACAATATCAACACAACAAAATTAAGATCCCCCTCCCCCCTCATCATCAGGCCATATCCATATAAGGGATTGGTATTCTTGAGCAGTAGGGAATTGCAACTGGCCAAGATTCTCCATAAAGGGGCTCATCTTAAACACCCCTACCAAAGCCTCAATGAATTCAGCTAGGTAGTGATACTACTTTTTCTAAATACTAGATTAATCAGCCTGCCACCTTACTCTTCTCACAAGGGTTAGTAACCAAGTCCATCCTCTCTCTCAATTCAACCACCTATTCTCCTAATGATTTAGGAGTCCTAGAACACCTACCTCTACTACGATTGTGCCAGCTAAATAACATGGGCTCACTGGGACATCCCTCATCATCATCTCCTTCTAACTTCTTAAAACTCAAAACTTTCCTCTAGTAAATGTAAAATAGGAAAAGGTTGTTTCTTAGTTTGACATTATTAGACAAGACATAAATCAGGGGAGTATGTCCCAAATCCACTAAAGTAGTACCCTGATGATATAAGCCAAAAAAAGAGAAGATAAGCTTTCATTCGTCTATCAAATAACTCATCTGAATAATGTAGTTATGCAAAGAACGGTTTTGGGTTACTTCACTAATGTTTATATTAGGAAAAAATGAGTAGAAATGAAATAATGCCAATCTTAGAACTTTGGGTGAGAAAGGATGTAGGAAAATTCATAATTTTTCTTCTCTTCTTCTAACTCACTCCAGTATTTGGTCTATGCAACACTCTCAAGATTTTGTCAAGATTAATAAGAATTCCAGAGAAAGAGGTGTACTCATCAAATTCAAAATCTTTAAGCTGAAAGTGGTGATTGATAGAAACAAATTTGAATGGGACCCACTTACTCTAACATAACGCATATTTTCTACTGCTTCCTTCCCATTAGCAAAAAACTCACACACAATATTAACTATGGAAGCAAAATGTTCCTTACAGAAAATCTCCCAAGCCCAACTTATAATGGTTTACATAACTGAAATACTTGAGTTTTGAAAACCTTTCAGAGGGATTAACTATTTATTCACTCCCAACTCAGCAAGTCTCTGGTCATCCTCAACAGATATGAATTTTGTCTTACGATAAAAAGAGGAAGATTTCTTCTAACCAAACATCTTACGGGCCATTGCACATTAGTAAATACTAAAAATGAACAGCTTCAGGATATAAGAAAAGTGAAAATGTAGTGAAACAACTGAAAATCACCTGTTTCTAATTGTAAAAAAACTGAGCATTACAGCGCTTAAAAACACAATGAAAAAAAAAAAAGGCTGACTGGCAATCACTACGGTGGTGTAGGATACATGACACTACGGTGCTCACATGGGAATTTAATTGTCTGCTTTTCGATTGGGCAACTATTGCAGCATTTGATACATATGAGCTTCATGGTATTACCAAAGACCACCACTGCGGTGCTTTAACTCAACTAAAAATAATTTTGACTTAATATTATGGTGCTAGTAACAGAACTTTGTCACTCACCAAAGTGTTATAATGAAAAAGTTATGGTAGTATGATTACTTTTTTAAACAACCACAAAAATTATAGAAATAATAGGCCTAATACCGCAGCACTTGAAAAGGTAGCATCAAGACGCCCGTGAAGGTATTAAAGTGTTATGGTGTTCAAGAACACATCACTGCAATAGTAATTAAAATCAAGTGAGTTTTTATGAGAGCTCAGTGTTGTGGTACTAGTTTTGAATGCAACAACACTTAACAGGTAGATATTATGGCACTTCAAACCCTTATGCTGTGGCGCTAGTTTAATTTTAACACAATAATTTTTTTCTTAGAAAACTTACCATAATAATTACAAACAATAAAAAATATCAAAACATAAATATGGAAACAAAATATAATGGATAGGAAAACAAGAAGTAGGTTGCCTCCCAAGCAACGTTAAGTTTATACTCTTTATCCATACTTGCTTAGATTTATCAAATTGGTTAGGGTGCATCACTACTACTCTTTAAGTGATCTCCACTAAGATCCTTTCTTTGTTCTTTAGTGTTAACTTTATTATTACTAGGCAATGATGATATACTACTAAAAGAGATTGCAAGTTTTTATAATTAATTTTCCAATTTTTTGATAGAAGCAGCTTAACATTGTAATTTATTTTCCAATTGAATCACTATCTCTTCTAAAGTTGTCTTCCTATTCCCAAACTGGTTTTTTTAATTTAATTTTGGGGGATAAGAAGGACTAGGATTTACAATAGGTTATTGAAGATTATTTCAATTTTCTTCTTTATTTGATTTAACTACATTCAATTGATTATTATCACAAATATTGTTATTAGACCAAAAAAATTAGGATGGTTCCTTCAACATGGATTATATTTATTGCAATAAAAATTATTTTACCTTCCAATTAAATTCATATTTTTAATCCATAGAGCACTATTATCATCAATAGAATTCATATCTTGCTCTTCCAATTGCATAAATGATCCTAATCTTGATCCTGAATTAACTCAATAGTATCCAATATCTTTAAAATTATAGTTACTTGAGCAGTAAAAATTGACAAAGCATCTCATTCATAAACTCTAGCTACTCTCTTAGGATTCACCCTATCAACATGCCACAAAAAATTATTTGTAATTATTTTCTCTATTAAATCATATACTTTCTCAAATGACTTAGATATTTAAGATTTTTTAGCTGCAACATTTATGATTGATCTAAGGGATTCTATAAATTTATTGTAAAAGTTTGAATAACTACCCAATCGGGTAAATATGGTGAGGGAATTTCCTAATCATTTCTTTAAATCTCTCCCAGCTTTCATATATTGATTCTCCCTCAAATTGGGTGAAAGATGTCATATCATTCTTAAGTTTTATAGTTTTTCAAGATAGAAAATACATACCTAGAAATCTATTAGCCAACTCACTCGAAGTGGTCATAGAGCCCAAGGGCAAAGAATTTAACCACATCTTAGCTTTATCTCTTAGAGAAATGAGAACAATCTAAGTCTAATAGCATCATCACTAACACCATTATACACAAATGTTGCATAGATTTTTAAGAAGCTAGCTAAGTATAAGTTAGAATCTTAAACAAGAGTTCCTCAAATTGAAAATTTGAACCATTTGAATTATGACAGGTTTTAATTCAAAGTTATTAGCCTGGATAGTAGGTCTATTGAAATACTAATGGCTTCCTTCGGCTATAGGATTAATACACTCTCTAAGAGATGTAGAATGGTCCTAATCTTGTGTTGGGTCAAACATTTCTAATTTTTTTTTTTCAAATTTTTGTTAGGGTCCTTTGTTTCTTAGGGTCAAATAATAAGTGATCCTTACTAGATCTATGAAGCATGCAACGATGATGAATAACCTAAAAATAAAATATGTATAATAAATAATAAATAATATGGTTTTCTAACTTTTTAAAATTTTATCAAATAAAGTGAAGATAAATATACATGATATAAGTATGTTGAAATAAGCACTTGATTTAATAATATAATGAAAATTGCAATACACAAGTTACTTTCCTAACAATGACGCCAAAAACTTGATGGAGTGGGTTAGGAAGTGACTTGTGGAGTTAAAATATGCTTCGATTTTCTTTGATATAAATTAATGAATGCATGCTAAAATATACAAGTGTATGCGTCAAATTAAGTAACAAACTGATAGAATAGAGTGTCGATCCCAAGAGAAGGATTTTGCTTAATTTTAATTAAACTACTACTATTTAATCTAAGTGCATAAATTATCTTGCTAGAAATAAAAATGATGTTTTTGATTTTTTTCACTGAAATAAAAACTTGCAAGAAAATTTTGGTACTTATGAAAATAAAGTATTTTTGACTAATGAATGTAAATAATATAGTTTTCCTAATAAGACTCTTAATTTTTAGATGTAGATCAAAACATATAAATTCTCATATCTCTATCGTACTTGTAGGGGTGAAAAAAAAGGTTTATGGCATTCCTACTATTTTTCTATCTCCATAGAATCTGGAATATTAAATATCATATGTCTAGATATAACAATACATTCCATTTCAATACTCCTAATTATTCCAACATTCCTCCATCAAAGCAACAAATCATATTAGATATTAACTACACACATGATCATTGTATGCATTAAGTGAAGAATGGGAGATATTGAAAACATTAATATATCATTCAAGGCACAAGATTGAGTTTATATTTGTACTTGCTATACTTTTATATCATCAGCTCCAAATTATAGAATTAGTTAAACATGAAAGATTCAATAAGCAAATTCAATTTCATTTTATTCATTAAAAGAAGAGATACAAGAGAAGTAATAAAAAAATTATCACTAAAAGGATTAAATAATATTTTCCACACTTAAATTCTTTCTCAAACCACAGAGTAGCATACATAAATAGGCTAAGATCTCTACATTGAAAGTATATTGCACTTCCCTAGCTTACCTTAGACTTTACTCTAAGGAAGCACTAAAGAAACAAACTTAAAATTATAGAATTTTACTTAAGTGATAGAACTCACTAAATAATAATTTTTTCTTTTTACTAAATAGCAAAATTGAAAAATAATTTATAGTATGTATAAGGATGGGTTCAAGCACTGCAATGTTTGATAAGGTGGCGCCGCGGAGGTATAAAATGAGCTAGCGCCTCTGCACTGTAATGTTGGCTCTGTTATAATGTTGACTGACTTGGCAAGGATAATGATTAAAACAATGCATTTTTGGATGAATTGGCATGGTTCCTCATGTTGGAAACTGCTTCACAGTTGAGGTCTAAAAGTTGAGCACTATGACGCTTGAATGTGAATTTTGACGTTGAGGCGTTACATAGCTTGATGCTCCAACACTCATTTTCCTGAGGCTCTAGTGCTGCTATAGTGTTGAATTCTAGCACAACAGTGATGTTTTGTGCTGACCTTGGCGTCACTGCAATGCTAGGAAATATATAGAGAAACCATCGTTGTTATGTTTCAATCTGGCATCGAGTTGCTATGAAAGCATATGCTAGGATGCTTCTAATGGCGCTACGGTGTTGATCAACACTTGTAGATATTTTCCTTCTAATGAACATTCATTGCATGAGCACCACTAAAACAACATGTTTTCACTTAATTAAATATAATAAATAGTACACAATTTACACTTAACACACATGCACAAATACTTGGTTAAAATAGGGGAGAAAAGGAGTAGGTGTGGGGATTAAACAAGCATGATACATCTAAAGAGTTGTATAAATAGGAAGATGGAGAAGGGTATACGTATAAAGAGAGAGGGAGAGAGAGAGAGAAAGAGAGAGAGAGAGAAAGAGAGAGAGAGAGAGAGAGAGAGAGAGAGAGAGAGAGAGAGAATGTGTGTGTGTGTGTGTGTGTGTGTGTGTGTGTGTGTGTGAAGGAATCTCATGAATGTGATTTTTTTCTCCGTCCATGTTTACAATACTTATAACATATACTAGAATAGTGTTGAACAATAAGATTTACTTCACTAATAACATAGTAGATGTGAATCTCTTTCTTAGTTTTGTTATTTAGTAAAAAGAAAAAAATCACATTCATGTTTACAAGCCATTATAATAATGTTTGGTGTTTTACTATAGACTTTGTTATTTCTCATTTTTCCCTTCTTTAATCTCAGTATTTGGATCCCTCTTATCTCATCTTCATGTACCCAACATGGGCAGCTTATTCCTATCCCTCTCTCTATATAAAGATTGTCATTTGTGCTCCCCATTGCCACCTCTGATTTAGTCTATCAAAAATTGGTAGTTTTATATATAGACTTCTTTCATCTATCAACAATTCGTAGTTTTATGGAAAGACATTTAAATAAAAATTGCAATAAATAAAATTGTGGAAAAATAAGGGGAACACAAAGATTTATAGTGGTCTGGTCCAACTAGACCTACGTCCACTTCCTAAAGACTCCCTCTTTAGGTATTGCACTATTACCAAAGTGACTCTCCTTTTGCCCCGAAAGCAAAGTGCAGAAGCCTTTGCAATTAACCTCACTTCCACCAATCCCCGATGTAGCAGAGTACCATCAACCTTTCACACCCTCCAAGTCTCTTCATAGTATCATTATCCTTTCATACTTCTCCAAGTGTAGGCAGAGAACCGTTGTCCTTTCACACCCTCCTGGTGTTGACAGAGAACCGGTGTCCTTTCACACCATCCTCGTGTCGGTAGAGAATTAGATCTTCTTCAAATATCTTTTGATGAGGAACTCCAAAGTAGGGAAGAGAATTGACAAGACTTACAAAGAGATCCTCATATTTGGGCAAATTTGTGAATCCTTCACAATTTCCTCTTGAAAAATCTCTCTTAACACTCTAAAAATACTCTCCCAAACACTCTCACGCTTTTGTTCTCAAGAAAAATGAAAAAGGATTCTTCTTTAGACTGTTTTAAGGACCTTATACATAAAAGACACAAAAAATTATCGAAAAAATTGGAAATTTCAATTTTGAGCATCCACGATCATACAGTACAATCGACAATCGTCCATGATGAAAAGTTCAAATTTTGCTTTTACGACCCTGTATGAAATATTTTTGTACAAGTATATCATATAATACGATATGTATATCATACAGTACAAAAAGTTATAAAGAATTTCCTATTCGTCTGGACAAAAATATGCCCCATAATTTTGTACTCTAGGCATCATCTGTCCGAACTTCAAACCATCCCGGACAAACAATTCAAAAAATTGTTCTGTTCGTATGGACGATCATCATTTTCATACTATGGATGTCATCTGTATGAACTCTAGATCATCCTAGATGAACAGTTTAAAAAATTTACCTTTTCATATGGATGAAAATGTTTGCAATATTTTTGTACTATGGACGTCATCTATATGAAGGCAACTTCATACAGTACGAATCGTACTTAGAATTTTTTCCATCCAGGATTTGATTAACTGCTTTCTAGAGGAACTAACTAGATAAATCATCTCGTATGATTAAAAATTGTTGAGTACAATTAGTTTAAAAATTTATAAGTTTAAACTCTCCTCCAGTGTGTATGTAAATGTTACCCAATTACAATCACACTCTCTTAGACTCAATAAAAGTGTAAAATACATACTCCATTTATAATGAACCCTAATCTAATATGACTTGAAGTCTTCAACAATTTGGAGTATGATTTTCCTGATACATATAAAATAAGACAAGCAATATATCCAATATATGTTAGGAGAAAAAGTAATCAAAACAATAATATTTTGAACCATAAAAAATACACATGATATTAAAATATAGTTATGAAAACTAAGTTGCAATAATCTCCCCATTTTTTTTGATAACAAAATAATTATTGTTTGAGTTAATATTCTAAGCAAAAATTTTACCTTAGCTCCCCCTAAATGAATGACCAATATAAATCTAGGGATTCCCATGAAGATAAAAAATCCTAAACCCAAAAAATAAAAATAAAAAGACACAAAATCAAAAACAAATTCAAACAAAAATATGAACACAAAACATAAACACGAACCAACACTCAAAAACATACACACATCACACAAGAACCATCAATCAATCAAACATACACACATCACACAACAACCATCAATCAATCAAACACACATATCACATAACAAACATCAATCAAACAAACAATATTATTACTCCCCCTTTTGACAACAACAAAAAAGGAAGTAGAACTTGAAATAAAATGTCTCAATAGAAAACCAAAAGAATTGATCAAGAAAATATTTTTAAACCAATTGCAATTATAGTATTAATTCTATAATGCTAAGAAGGAAAAATTCAAAATTTTAAAGTTAAAAATAACTAAGATAAGAAAAGTTAATCAATGTCATGATTCATGTTAGACAAAATATATAAAGATAATTATTGCAA